GTGATGTTTGGATAGCACTTACACATCGTATGATAAATTATCATGTGGTGCTCTTAAGCAAACAATAAGAAAACCCAAAAATATACTGGAAGTGCCTTCAAGGAAGAGTATTGGCATCTGAATAAACTAATCCTATCATCAGATTGTAGTGCGAGTATGCATATGCCAGGAGTATCTGCCAAGGTAATGGAAAGTGTAGAGCTTCCCATAACTCTACTGCAGGCTCTTCTGCAAGATCACCACCTATTATTTGATCACTGTGAAACTTGCAAATACTGAAGATCAAATACCATCTTCATTTATATTGCAATGCCTTTTAGCCAATTCACTATTAAAATTTTTTGTAAGGGAAATATAAAGCAGAGTATCTCTAATAAAGTTCATGCTTAGTGCATTCTAGCTGCAAGTAATAGGAAAGGAGTCGGAATATGAAGGCAAAAAAGGTTTAATCTCTTTTAAGACTTGGCAATATTATACTCCCAAGGAAGTTTAAATGAAGGTATAAAAGTAAGAAGTCCACTACTGATCAAAGCCAGCTTTGCAAGAAAACTTTTTCTTTCTTGGGAAGGCTTGGACATAAGCACTAAGAACACGGAGAAGGGGGATGAGAAAGAAACATTTGAGGTAACTTCCACAACCTATAAAACAAGCATAAATTTTTATACCTTATATAGTTCCTATAGTAAACATTTTGCTGTAAATATTTCCTCATGGAAGGAATAGGTAAAATACAGTGTAAGGGAACTAAAATTCCAATAAAACTGCTTCATAATGAAAAAGCACCATTTATAAAACATCCAAAAACTATGATGTGCTGCTTTATGTCCCATAGATTGTACAGCTCACTAGCTTCTTGTTCTCTGGGGTTTGTAAGCTATTGACCTTTTACGCTGGCCAGGTCATTCCTTTAACACTATAAACCAGAGGATATCTCCCTTTGGTTTCATGTTTTGACACTGCACAAGATCATAAGTGTTCTACACAGTTCTAGACTCTCTTTAAAATGAAGATAAGAGTTATGTCTTAATTTTCCAGGTCCCATATCTGAATTCTGTGCAACACAGTTATCACTTATTGTCACGCCCAAGATTAGATTTTATTCAAATTAATCGACATTAACTACTATCATTTTGAGAGGTCAACATCCAACAGTAATAACTGACTTCCTGGCTTATAGAAGCATGCTAAAATAGTATCATTATATACAGTATATATATTGTGTGTGTATGGTTTAAAGCAATTTCACACTCATATTTAATAGGAATTCAGGAAAAAAGCATTAGCTTTTAGAGATTAGTTACTGAGCATTATAGATTGCACTAGAGTAGGCTCACTAATCAGTGGGGATTTGGTGAGTCAACTCCTGTGCAATTTCCATTGCTTAAATGGGCATATTCTTTATAATTTGCTATTCTTCAGCAAATAACTAAACTAGGTCTGTTTGAATAGAATTTACAGAAAAGTTGACTTGCCAAACTCGTCAATGGTCTGACTCTAGTGCAATTTGTTAGGTTAAGCAACAGGATTTCAGTCGTAATTATTCCTACATATAACTCATACTGAATTTGTGCATATGATTGGTGTCGCCTAAATGCTGAACATTTACATTTATCCCTATTGAAATTAATTCCATTTGCTTTGGCCAGGTTTTTCAATCTGTTAAGGTCATCCTTCATCCTCATACCAGAAGCCACTGGTAATGGTGCGGCTAAAAACACTGTAAATAAATAAATAATAAATAAATTTGGTCTTGTGAGGTGTCAAATTTCATGTCATCTTCAAATTTCACAAATCCTCTACTACTTCAATCATGTGGTTTATAAAGGTGTCTGGGCCCTGAACAGAGTTCTGTAGCATATCACTTGCCAGTTCTCTTCAGGATGAAATGATAGCATTGGCACTTTTTGGGTAGTTTGTCGGCTACAAAACCACCAATGAAATAGTATCACTCTTCATATTTTACCAGTCTTTTTGAGAATATCATGGGGTCTTGAAAACTGTGCTGAAATCAAGAGTTACTACATCTGCAGCATTCCCCTTACTTACCAAGTTTCTAATTCAATTATGACGTTAAGAAATCCATCCTGACACTTAGTAATCCAAGAATTGTTTTCCAAATGGTCACCGAACTGTTGAATGATCTGTTTTGGAACATTCTGAGGCCAACAGCATGCAGAGGAATTAGTAGTTGTCCAAGTCTTCCTTCTTTTCTCTTTTTAATGGATGGAGACACTTGTCCACTTTGTCTCCCCTGTCCTCAGCTGTCTTCCAAGAATTATCAGACTTAGATTTAAAGGCTGTAATATGACATATGCATAGCACTTTGGACGTAATTCATCTGGCCCTGAACATCTAAATTCATTGGAAGTATCCATACCTCTTTACTTATTTTGGACTGCAACCCCCTCCTTTCATCGTTTATTCCAAGTAAACACAAAGCATTGTTATTGTGATGTTCTAGTTTATCTTTTGATATTCTGCCCTGAACAACAGAAACATTACTTTCCTAGTAATTAGCTTGAACATGATCTTTGTTTTGTTTTACATATTTGTTTTATTTATAGGCTGCCTTTCTCCCAATAAGGGGTGTCCCAGGGTGGCTCAATAGATTTAAAAACATAAGAAGTTAAACATTAAAGAACTCTTAAAATATATGCTAATTAAAATATGATTAAATAATTATACAGTTTGAAATAACCTATTTATTAATGAATATATTCTTTCATATGAGGTCGTATCATTCAGAAATCTAGTTGCATAGAAATAGCCCATCAAACTGAGTGGGACTTACCTATTTTAACAGCACTTACAACTGCATAAGTAAATGTTGAAAAACTGTATTCTTTCTCCAAGATTATTATGCATATCATTAATAAAACATCTAAGATGTCCTCCTTACTTTACTGTAGTAACATGAGAGCTACTGTAGTGTGTCCTTCCCACAGTGCCAGGTAAAACTGAAATGACCCACAAGCTGGACTCTTCCACAAGGCCCAGTGATTCTCATGTTACCCAAGAGACATGGGAAAAGCTGAACTGCTTTGCCTCCCACACTACTAACATAACATTAAGGGGGGGCGCTAATCTGTGTGGGGAATGGCCAAGAAAAAGAAAGTCTATAAGCGAGCTTGGGACAGTCGATGAACCTGCTCAACCAATAAACCTGCTCTTGCTATGAAGCATATCACACTGCAAGATAAAACATTAAGACACAGACTAAATGAGAAATGTACTGTACAAAGGTTATTTACAGATAATTCAGATTATGAACTGAACATAATATAGTACATTAATATTTAAGGACAAATCTTGGAAATCAAGCTAATTTTGATTTTTAGTTGAAGGGATAAGCAATGCAGAGTAAGTGTAAGTCAAATGTATACATGAGTTATAATTCACAAGAGATAAATATAAAAAAACAGCACAAGATGATTTCTAGTTGAAGGGATAAGCAATGCAGAGTAAGTGTAAGTCAAATGTATACATGAGTTATAATTCACAAGAGATAAATATAAAAAAACAGCACAAGAGGTTTTTTCTAAGAGCTAACAACTCTCTGATAAGCTGGTCTTCCAAAGTAATGTGTTCACTAGACTATAATATGGCTATGCAGTGAATATTAACAAAGAGCATTTCATTTTTGCAACTAACTAAAAATTATTTAATTATGCACATTTCCAGTGGAACATCATGATTTTACATTGGTAGCCAGCAGATCTATTTGTAACAGTTCTTTCCATACTGGGCAGGTGTAGGGATTTTTAAAATGTGTTTCCACAGATCTACTGTTACTGGTACATTAGAAAAAAATATTTTAATATTTTAAATATTTGTCCTTATCTATACTAACTGCTCTATACCTTAAACACATCTGCATTGATTAAAGTATATACTCAGTTTCCAGACTGCACCCTATAAAGTGTTAATCACCCAGTGCTGATTAATTATGCTGCATGATTAGATGACAGTTGCTAGTGTAAAAAATGAGACATTTTCAGGATGCTGTCAAAACACAGAACATTCACCTTCCTTATTCACAGACTTCATTAACTAGATATGTGAAAGCTCAAAAGTTGTTTCCTTCCTTTAAGTGAAAAATGTAAAAACAAAACCCTTAATTGCCCCACATATGTCAGGCAAGAAAACTTGGTACATTATTTGTCTGTTAGTATTTTAATGTAAAAAAAAAGAATTCTAGAAAAGGGGATCAATAAAACAGGCTTATATACAAAGAAAAATATATGGGACACTTAACTCTACCCCCACCTTATGGTTGCAAAAGGAACATTCATTTTGAGACAAGAGCTTCTAAATGGCATATTGAAAATCTCAAAGTAGGTTTACTTGCTCAGATAAAGACAACAACCACAGCTCTTATGAATAAGTGCAATTATCTAAAGCATTAGATTTCAACAACGCGTGGTTATACAAAATATGCTTCAACAGAATCCCCTTTCCACTTACTTAATCATGTTATAAGAATGTATGAATCAGTGCATTAGGGAGAAAGTGAATATTTCTTCTTCATCAAACAAACAATATTTCAGTATTTGTGTTTTTTCTTTCCCTTTAAAGGAGTTGTCCTTATCATCCTTGCAGCTCTCTAAATAAGAATGACAAGTGTGAAAGTAGAAATCTGTGGCTGGCATATTCAAGTACTGTTTGCCCTGAAAAGGAAGGATATGGGCTGAGGCTCTCAGTCCCTTTTCCTGTACTTCCTGTATAAAAGGATAATGAAGATGATCAACAACTGTCTTCTAAAACTAAAACAGGAGAAGGGTCACAGAGGGAGGCTGCTCCAGAATCTGACTCCTTTAGCTATCTCCAGTACCAGTAGCTGTTCCAGGAAAAGAAGAAAAAAAATGTCTGTCATCATAGGGACTGCTCAAGCTACTGGACTTGGCAAAGACTCTCTCTTACCCCCCCCCCCCACACACTTCTACACACCAAAAGAACAATAAATGGAAAAAGCAAAGAAAAGAGATTGAAAGAGCTTTACATTTGTTTTTACAATATGTTTACACCTTTATTGCAAATATCTGGTTTCTTATTATGAGCCTCTTGTTCAAGCATCTATTTAACTGCAATATTTATTTGTGATGTTACTTTAACATTGTGGAAGTTTAAAAGGTTTCTAAACAATTGAAAGCATATACATTCATAGCAGGCCTTTTTCATAAGTATTTGGCAGGAGAGAAATACTTTGTTTTTATAGAAAACATAATGACTTCAGGTTAAGCTAACATTAAGCACTGCAGAAGACATGCTTAAAAAATACTAATGTTAAAACATATATTTCAATCACAATTTTAATCTCATACTTCAGCTATGTTATCAAAGACTAGGTGATGAATTCACAATGACACCCATTCTGGAAAATTACCTGATATGAACATGAGAGCTTTGCACACACAAAAAGTTTTTTGACAAATTTGTACACTATACAAAAATCAACCAGAGGATGGAGGAGTTTCTCGACTTAACCTCGGCTCTTCTTTAAAATTATCTGGGAAACAAACAAACACAGTCTTTAGATAATTATTGCTGTTATTTCAAATAAGAATAAACCAATATTTAGCAGAGAAAGCTTTAACTAATATTTATGTTTCAAAGAAACCCTTGATCTAAACTACTGCAAAAGGCAACTGGGCCGATAAATAAAAATATCACATCAGCGTTTAACCTTTATTTTCTCTGCTTCCATTTTCTCTTGCCTATTTTAGAATAGGAACACTATGCTAGAATAAAATATTGGAGTTGGAAGAGTGCCTATAAGACCATCTAGTCCAAACCCCTGCAGTTCAGGAATCCAAATCAAAGTAGGTCTGACAGATGGTTGTCTAATTTTCTCTTGAATGCTTCCAGTATTGGAGCACTCATGTTTATGCCTAGAATCCAAATAATCATCCACCTAGTTCTCTGTCTCCAAGCAGATTTGTTCCCAAATTCCAACACGTGAAGGCACTAACTAAGCAAAAAGCTTGGGCAAATGGAGGGGACTGAAAGAAATCAGAAAACCAAAATGTGCCAGGAAAGATGCTTCCTGTCTAATATGATTAGAAAATAATTTTCCTCCTCTGAACAGATTCTTATGAAAAAGACTCCTGAATGGTGTAAATATTTTTGCACTGCTTCCTTAATTTTAAAACTGCACCACTGAGCTTTTATACACATATATGAGATAACATGATTCATGTTTCTAATTTAAGAAATAGTTTAGATACAAGCAGTCAGATCTACAGTCAGTCTTCACTCTTTAATCAGTCATGACTACCTCTCTAATTATATAAAGCAAACTGAATAATGGTTACATCTGTGGATAAAGGTGCTATTATAATGACATAACAAAGGATAAGAAAATGACACATTATTTTCAACAAAAAAGAGGCAATGTAGAAGACAATGCTGAACAACTGGCAACTCTTTTTAAAACAAGATCGGAAGAGATATTTTAATCCATAACACCAGAGATGAAACCTGAAGCCTACATAGCTAACCTAAGTTGCAGCCCCCACTTGGAAACATGCTTTACACAAAGGAACCTAGCATGGACATCTGGCCATGATTTTTGGATCTTTTGTTTCTCCTGCATCAGTTTCAGGTCTCTGGCACCAAGCCTGGTGAAGACCCGTGTATTTTCTGTGCCCTCACATTAAAAGCAACATAGTGATCCTAACTGGGCTTTCAAGGTAACCGAGATATTTAAGGAGTGGTTTTACCAGTTCCATGCCCCCAATGAATTTCCTTGGTCAAGTGGGGATTCAAACTCTGTTTCCCACAGTCCTCGTCTGTCACTCTATCCACTATACCAGAAGTCGTCAACCCCTGGCCCCCGAGCCAGACTGGGCCGTGGAGACAGACCTTCCCCCCCCCGCATGCACTCGCATCCCCATAGCTGCTTTGCATACACACCAGTGTGAGCGCTCCCCCATCCCTTCACGCATGCACCCACATGCAGGGGTGGGCAGGTGGGTGGGTGGGCATGCAGGTGCTCCTGCACATGCATGAAGGGGTGAGCAAGAGCTCACGCTGGTGCTGGCGGGCGCTCTCTCCCGCTTCGTGCATGCACCTGAGAGAGCCTGTGTGCCTGCGCGAGGGGGGGTGCCCTGCCTTCCTCAGAGGCTCAGCCAGTCCGCGGTCCCAGAAAGGTTGGGAACTGCTACACTATACCACACAGGGAATCATGAAAACCCGTAGGGGACTAAAAACTGCCATGTTTGTGATTTTCCAGTGGCTGAATAAAAGTATCATCCATCCTTGCCTGCACATTGTTTTCAATTATATGAGACTGTAATTGAAGATATTTGTCGAACTAAGTGTGACAGATTGGGTAAGATCTCAAATATGATGGCTATTGTTTAAATATATTTGTAGAAAATACTGATTTTATTTCTATTTTTTTAATGTACAGGTATTTTAACTGTTTGATCAACTCGATAAAATCCAGTCATATGACTTGAATTACACGAATAGCAATCTATTATTAGAGCAACATGTTTTAATACATTGAAAATGTTGTCATAGTAGCTGGATTCAGAAACACAGTTTCATAAATCAACAGTGAAGTACAGTGGTGCCTCGCATAGCGAGGGTAATCCGTTCCGGATTAACCTTCGCTATAGTGAAACATCGCTAAACGGAATTAAAAAAGCCATAGAAACGCATTGAACTTTGTTCAATGCGTTCCTATGGCTTGAAAACTCACCGTTCAGCGATGTTTCTTCATAGCGCCGCCATTTTCGCGCCCTCGTTAAGCGAGGGCAGGGCGCGAAAATACGGCGCAGACCTTCCGGCGGCCATTTTGGAACCGCCGATCAGGTGTTCTCCCCGGCTTCGTTATGCGAAGATCGCTAAGCGAATCGCTTAGCGATCTTCGCAAAGCGAAAAAACCCCATAGGGGCCATCGCTGAGCGAATGCTCCAGCGATGGCCCAGAGTGCCTCGTTAAGCGATTTCATCGCTCAGCGAGGCACTCGTTAAGCGAGGCACCACTGTAAATGTTATAGCAGCACTGCAAGTCTCTTAACTTCCTTCTCATAAAATGGAAAAGTATCTGCAGTTTAACACTGCTGAAAAGTTCAGCAGTTTAGGTATTTGGCTACAAAGAAAGAATGGGAATTCAATTCCACACTATGGCTTCTTGACAAGAGCTGGACTTGATGATCCATAGGGTCCCTTTCAGCTCTGCAGGTGTAAGGTTATTATTATCATAGTAGGAAAATATCAGCTTTCAAATGCAATTACCTTTGCTGAAGAGATAACATGTTCATATTTAATTGTTTTGCTCTTTTCTGCAATAGCCTTGACCCTGGATTCTTCTGCTAATCCATGCAGAAACAGTAAGAAGTTCAAATGTACCTTTAAAAGAAGAACACATCACTAACAAAGAAAACTTCCAAAGGAATGCTTAGAGGTTGATGTATATTGATTTATGAAATGCTCTATAAAATAATGATCATTAAAAAAGCCAGGGCTCTTGAAAAATATGTATATAAAAGTAAAATAAATACACATTAGACTATAGCTAAACTTGCATATACTTCTAATTCCACAAAGATCCAGAACCAACAGTATATATTATCTTATTAAATTTGTTTCTGATCATGAAGTATCATGCCTGCATTTCACAAATTCTTCTTACCAACAATTACTTTTTAACAATGGCTATTTCATTTCCTATTTCATGCTTTAAAACATACCAGCAAGAAGAGGATGTTCCAACATCACCTGGCCATGCAGAAAGAATGTACGTCTGCAGTGTTTGTTGACACATTACATCTGCAGGTTACTTTACAGCATTAACACTGCTATCGGAAAGATAGCTATTACTTAAGATGGGCATTTCACATGGCAAACAATATACCACATCAATAAATTAATCCTACATACACTTAGAAGTGCTGTAATTACTTTCGCTAGAAGAATCAGTGGCATGTATTTTTGTTCAACTATCAGCATTTTTTTAAACCCCAAAGCAAACTTCAGTTACTTGTAGGGGCTCCCTAACCAAACTGAGAGGGACTGATGGTTTATGAACTGCTCCAGTAGTATCCTTGCTTTGTCACATTTTGACATTTTTTTCTCAAACCAGTGCACACCCCTAATCCCAACTAACACCAAGGTCTTTTGATTTCATTGGGTCTCTTCTATGTAGCCCTGACACTTTGTTTAATCTCAAAGTCTCTTAAAGCTAACTATGGATAACAGCTTCACAGACCCTCCAATTTCCATTCTATGACTAGATTTCAAGGAATCCAGTGCAAGGAATACACTGGAAGGGAGTTAGCTTTTCTCTTCTACTGTACCTATAACGCCTCTCAGTGTATCAAAAGCCATCTCAGAAGGATGCTGATGTGCAGCGAGAGGCCGCAAGGGACAGTTTGAAAATGAGTACAGTACAAGACATCCTGGTGTGCACACACGACATTGTCCATGCTTGTTTGATCTGATATCCACGGTCCCAGCCGATACCTTAAAATAAGTATGTCATAAATGAAGTAAAAGAATTGTTTCCTACCAGAAATATATGTATTTAAGCCACACTTTTAAGCATTACACCTACATTTTCCATTCCTTACACAGTAAGAAAACATTTCACATTATTTCTCCATAGACGTGATTGTTACATCACCAAGTAATGCCTTGCACTTTAAAAAAAGTACAGTTCATGCAACAACAAAAAAAAGAACTATCAAAATACCCAGCACGCTATATCGTTCAATAACTTTTGTTCACACAGCAGAATATCATTAATCAAGAGACAAACAAGCAGGCCGTTCACATTCATTCATAAAACCTGTTATGGAAACAATCACTAAACGGGGGCCTCCTCCGGAGGAACTCTTCCTAGACTTTAATCTATTAAACCAGAGAAGTGGTTTTTTTCGTGCCCTTAAAAAACTCTGCCTGTGTGTGGCTAAGCATGAGAGAGAGAGAGAGAAGGGGGGGGTGCTGGTCCGAGGAGACCTGCTAACAACCCTTCCCACCACCCGGCACTCTTCCCATCCTTCCTCCGGTTTCCCCCTCACCAGAACATCGGTGTTGGCGCTCAAACGAAGGTGAGGTTTATGCTTTTTAATCAAACCCCTCAAGGTAGGGCGCGGCACCGTGCTCTTCATCACGAGCCTCCTCCTCCTCCTCCTCCTCAGAGCCAACGCAAACCCCGAAGCGTGAACCCTCCCAACGAAAGCGTTCACCAGACCAGACTGCGCCTGCGCCCCGAGAATTCAAATATACCGCGCCTCGTAGCGCGAGAACTCTCCCTACGCTGCCCCGCCTTCTCGTGGCTTGACTAGCGGAGGGAGGCACCTCCCTCCTCCCCCGGATTCGCGTTGGTAGAGGCGAAAGGGCGGAGCTTCTTATGTCGAAGAGCAAGGCGGCGGGGCTGGTCGGAGCAGATAAACAGAAGTTGGGCGGTTGTGCTCGGGGGAGGTTTCGGGTTTTTTTCTTGTTGTGGGCTCTCTTCGCTTCTGAGTAACGCTCGCAGTTTTTTCATTGCTTTTGAGCTTTGGCCGCAGGCCTTTGCTTGTTTCAAGGAGCAGCTTTTTGTGGAGGAGCTCTGGAACAGCAACATCTGTTTCTTAGTACACTGTTGTTAGCTTAAATGCTGTCTTTTAATTGTAAGCCACCTTGAGTCCTTTTTTTCAGGGGAAAGTCAGGTCAAAAATATTTTAAATAAACAAATACATAAAAATTCATGAAAGTACTACTTTTTACACAACCAGGCTTGAAACAAGATATAAACATTCATATTTGTTTATTTTATTCATTTTTATTTAAAATATTTTTACCCCATCTTCTTCCTTAAGAAGGTGACTTACATCATTAAAATACAATATAGAAAACTAAAAATTGTAAATATATAAATACTCAAAAGGATCAAACAAAAGCAATATCAAAAACATTCAAGGCAATAAGGCAAAACCATCTGTTTAAAAAACCCACTCAAGCAGCCAGTCACTTAGGGAAAGCTTGCCTGAAGAGAAAGTTCTTTGCCTGCTTGCGATAGGACAGCAAAGGTGGGGCCAGCCTGGCCTTCTTGTAGGAGGGAGTTCCAAAGTCTGTACATTCCAAATGTATGCACATTAAACATACTAAAGGTAAAGGTAAAGGTTCCCCTTGACAATTTTTGTCCAGTCGTGTCCAACTCTAGGGGGCGGCGCTCTTCAAGCCATAGAGCCAGCGTTTTGTCCGAAGACAATCTTTCCATGGTCACATGGCCAGTGTGATTTAGACACGGAATGCTGTTTACCTTCCCACCATGGTGGTACCTATTAATCTACTCGCATTTGCATGCTTTCGAACTACTAGGTTGGCGGGAGCTGGGACAGGTGACGGGTGCTCACTCCGTCGCGTGGATTCGATCTTACGACTGCTTGGTCTTCTGACCCTGCACCACAGGCTTCTGCGGTTTAGCCCACAGCGCCACCATGTCCCTTGAATTACACTTGTTAAACAGAGGCACACAAACTACACAAACATCTACTTCCTAAACCAGTGCTCACTGGCTTCTGAAATAAAACAAATATTATTTGCTGTAGAGTCATGCTGCTGAATACTTGGAAAGCTGAAGTTATTTATGCTAATTAACATGTAAACAAGCACTTGCTTTCCTTTGATCTAGCAACTCAGTACTTGGAACGTTTACATTCTTTGTCTTAATAGCCTGTGACTTTTTATTCCAAAACACAAAGAAACAAATATATAGAATAGCACTTGATTACTGAAATGCATTATACACTTCAGTGACTTTGAAAATGATCTGAGAATTTTTGCTGGCCCAAAAGGGGGAGTGAAATAGAGGCTTGCCAATATGATGCTGCTTTACTGTACTAGTCTTTTGCCACCTACATGGGTTTCCAGTACACTTCAAGGCTTATTTCAAAATGCAGGCATTAATGTCTCTAAAGCCCAGAACATGTTAGCGTCAGGTTACCCAAAAGGGTCATCTTCTTCCATATATACCTACCTGGTTCAGAAGGTCATCTTGAAAGGTCCTTGGCTGCTATGCCACCAAGTGAACTGAAGAGAGAAATGTGGCTACTAAGGTCACAGCCTTTGCCATTGTGCTGTTGCCAATGATGGGGAGTTGTTGTTTTTTTTAACCACAACTTCCAGAACCCCCTGCTGGCAGTGTGGTAGTAGCACAACAGGAGCAGATAGGCCCCTCTCCCCACTGGGCACAAACAGTTCAGTTTTCCAATTGGTTCATAGCTAACCACAAGCCCTCAGGAACCCACCAATTATCAGGTGAGTACCCATTTCTACAAATGAGTCAATGGATCTTTTATGTTAGAAATACTAGCCATATGTACTGTGTAGTGTTAAATAATTACTAGATACGTAATAGTACATTTATAATACTTTTCTAAATTATATATTATTTAAAGGAGCAAAGTATTTATAATAGTTTGTATAACAATCATGCTGTTCTCACTGACTGCTTACAAAAGCTTTCTATTCACCAATTCACCCGTCATCCTAAGACTATGCACTTTTATGTACCATGAAAACCTTATGCCAAATGAAATTTGTTAGTCTTTCAGGTATTAAATGCTCTTTGTTGGTTTTGCCACAAGAGAGTAGAGGATGGCATGCTTGCCTGTTTGGAAATTTCTGATAACATACACCATACTTATGTCAAAATCTGTTTCTGATCCTGCTCTAGGTGTCTCTGATATGTTGTGAATGATTTTATGATTGTTGAGTAACACATTACTTACTTATGTTTTAGTTCTTACATGAAGTTAGCTCATTTGAATCTTTAAAGGGAATATGACTGAAACATGGAAAATAATGTTATATATGTGTTAATTTGAAATGCATAATCATATTTCATTAGTTTGATGCTTCTTTTCATCATAAAATAAATAAATGTACAAGAATCATTGGGTGAATCAAGTTTTCATGGTTGAGGAAGGATTTTGAAGCCTATCCTGGACATCAGCCTCAAACTATTTAGCCATTTGTTGCTTTTCAATTTTGAAAAGATGTTTGCAAAACAGAACAATCCAGCAAAAGCCTGTCTACAATGATGTGTAAATAGCATGTGGGAAAATGTGCTCCATGAGGGAGCAGGCTGGGTAGGTGGGGCTTGTCAGCCTTGGAAGGCAGCCCATCTAGGAGAAGGAAAACTCTGATTTCAAACCTCCACTGCCTTGTGGCTATATCCACTGATGAAAAAGGCTTCAGGAGTAAACCTTGAGGCAAAATCTGGAGCTGGAGTCCTGGAGGCAGTTCGTGTCATTCCGGCAACTCCTGCAACGTCACTGGAACCAGTTGTATTGGCTCTTGCTTTTCCATTGGACTATTTCAACGACGTGAAGAGGGAGGGGATGCTGCTTAGGTAACAGCCTATCTTCCATATTATTTTACCCAGGCTTCGTGCTCTGGAGAGGACACTCTCCAAGTCCTCCATACAGAGCACGTTACCATAGTCTCCTGAGACTGAAGGATGCCATTCATCATTAAGCAATTAATAATTTCCCATTTCTTTCTGTAACATTTTCCTGCTTTGCTGTTTTTGCAGGAAGGGTTGCTGCTTAGGTAACAGCCTATCTTCCATATTATTTTACCCAGGCTTCGTGCTCTGGAGAGGACACTCTCCAAGTCCTCCATACAGAGCACGTTACCATAGTCTCCTGAGACTGAAGGATGCCATTCATCATTAAGCAATTAATAATTTCCCATTTCTTTCTGTAACATTTTCCTGCTTTGCTGTTTTTGCAGGAAGAATTATCAGTAGTTATGAAACTTGCCTAAAACAGGAGGGGAAATACCAAAGCTGATATTTCACCACTGCCCCATCACCTCATGGCAAATAGAAGGGGAAGATATGGAGGCAGTGACAGATTTTACCTTGTTGGGCTCCGTGATCACTGCAGATGGTGACAGCATCCACAAAATTAAAAGATGCCTGCTTTTTGGGAAGAAAGTGATGAAAAACCTCAACAGCGTCTTAAAAAGCAGAGACATCACCTTGCCGACAAAGGTCCGCATAGTCAAAGCTATGGTTTTTCCAGTACTGATGAATGGAAACGAGAGCTGGACCATAAAGAAGGCTGACCACCAAAGAATTGATGCTTTTGAATTGTGGTGCTGGAGGAGACTCTTGAGAGTCCCATGGATTGCTGAGAGAACAAACCTATTGGCCATCTCATGAGAAGAGAAGACTCCCTGGAAAAGACGCTGATGTTGGGAAAGTGTGAAGGCAGGAGAAGAAGGGGACGACAGAGGATGAAAGGGTTGGACAGTGTCATCGAAGCTACCAACATGAATTTGACCAAACTCCAGGAGGCAGTGGAAGACAGGAGGGCCTGGTGTGCTCTGGTCCATGGGGTCACAAAGAGTTGGACATAACAATTAAACAACAACAACAGTTTTTCCCACTCTTTTGTTGACTGTGAAGGCTACTCCATTTCTTCTACGGGATTCTTGCCCACAATAGTAGATATGATAATTGTCTGAATTGAATTCACCCATTCCTTTTCATTTTAGTTCCCTGATGTCCAGGATGTCAATATTTATTTGTTCATAGATATTACATTCCAAGTTCCTATGCAGTATTTTTTTTGTAGCATCGGACTTTCCTTTCACTTCCAGGTGCGTCTGCAGCTGAGCGCCCTTTCGGCTTTGGCCCAACCACTTCATTAGCTCTGGAG